GTTAAAAAAAAAAAAAAAAAAAAAAAAAAACTTTGACAATCTTTGGCACGGCATACGAGTTTAAAATTAACTCAGTCTTTTTTCTCGGCCTCGTACAGTTACCGTACAACCAGCATAGTAGTCATGAATGGTTTTTACTTTGCTCGCTCTTACACTTCCTACCTTTTCAAAAGCGTCTGTGGGGTGTTTTTTATGTCTTCTTTTGTGTCTGGGTGACGACTTGTGAAGTAGATTTATTTCAATTCGAGGGGGGGGAGAGAGAGAGAGAGAGAGAGGAGGGAGAGGAGAGAGAGAGAGAGAGAGAGAGAGAGAGAGAGAGAAGAAGAGAGAGAGAGAGAGAGAGAGAGAGAGGAGAGAGAGAGAGAGAGAAGAGAGAGAGAGAGAGGAGAAGAGAATGAAAAGAAAAGAGGAAGAGGAGAGAATAAAAGAGAAAAGAGAGGGAGAGAGAGAGGAGAGAGAGAGAGAGAGAGAGAGAGAGAGAGAGAGAGAGAGAAGAGAGAGAAGAGAGAGAGAGAGAGAGGAGAGAGAAGAGAGAGAAAGAGAAGAGAAAGAGAGGGAGAAAATCGACGGTTCTGCGTTTGCGTGTGTTTGAATATGTTTGACGGTCCTTCGACGGTCCACAGAGCCATCGCAAAATCGGCGTAGAAGGGGGGGGGGGTGTAACGTTTTAAAATTTGCCGACAAAAGGACGTGGTAACTGGGTGTCGTAATCATAATAATAATAATAATAATAATAATAATGATAATAATAATAATAATAATAATAAACAATAATAATAATAATAATAATAATAATAATATAATAATAATGATAATAATAATAATATAATAATAATAATAAATAATAATAATAATATAATAATAATAATAATAATATAATATATAATAATATGATAATAATAATAAATAATAATAATACATAATAATAATAATAATGATAATAAGTATTAATAAGTAGTTATAGTTACAAAGGTAAAATTGTTACTTTACAAAGTTATCATTTAAGTGTCTAATGCAATAGGGTATGGTGGACAGATAATCTGGATTGTATGAAACTTTGTTTAGTCATTAAGAATTTTAAAAACCATGCTCAGCCTTCTCTCACAACTATTGTTCTTGTTTTGTAACTTTCTTTTGCGCTTATTTGGGGATTCGAATTTCTAGGAATTTGCCGACAAAATACGATTTTTAACTTCACTTGCCGACAGAATTTTTTTTTCAGGGGGGTGTCATCTACCCCTCCCCCCCCCCCCCCCTCCCTTCGCGACGGCCTGCATGGCCAGCAAACCCGTATTAAGCGTTTGTCTTTCCTCATGTTTTTTTTTCCTTCTTTTCGGTTGCTTGTTGTGACTCTAACAGAATCTTCAACTAGAATCTTCAATTTCAACTTATTATTATTCTTGTTGCTCTCATTATTATTATTATTACTATTATTGTTATTATTATCATCATATATTATTATCATGCATTCATATCATTATTATAATTACTATTATTGCTATCATTATTATTATTAATTATATCCTTATATATTATATTATTATTAAGCATATCCTTCTGCTCCTTCTGCGAGGTTGTTGATCACGACCGGCGGCACAACCTGGGAGTGGGGCGGCCTTGGGGGGGGCGGGGGCGGGAGGCGGGGGGGTGGGGGGGGGACTCCTGGCACCTGGTGATGAGTTGCGTCACTCCTCTGGCGACTGGGGCTCGTGTGCCTCTTTTTGTTCTTTTGTTTTGTTCCGCTTTCTTGGAGTTTCGTCGATTTTTTGTTGTTGGTTTGATTGGGTGTTCAAGGACTGGCACTGGCATCGGGAGGCTGGCGAGTCAGCGATGGGGAGGGGGAGGGGAAGAGAGGTGGGAGGAGAGAGGTGGCAGGAGAGGGGTGAGAGAGTGGAAAGGAGAGGGAGAGAGAGGGGGAGGAGAGGAGATGAGAGGGGGGAGAGGAAGGTGAGGGGAGAGAGGGGGGAGGGGAGGGGAGAAGGGTGAGAGGTGGGAGGGGAGAGAGGTGGGAGGAGAAGGGGTGAGAGGTGGGGAAAGGGAGAGAATTGGATAAAGGGAGGAGGGATAGGTGGGTGGAAAGGGAGGAGAGATAGGTGGGAGGGGGGTGAGAGGTGGGTGGGGAGAGAAGTGGAAAGGGAGGAGAGGTAGGTGGGAGGGGAAGTGAGGGAGAGAGGTGGCAGGAAGAGGGGGCGGAGAGAAAAGGGAAGAGAGATAGGTAGGAAGAGGGGGGAGAGAAAGTGGAAAGGGAGAGAGGTTAGGTGGGAGAAGTGAGGGGAGAGAGACGAAAGGAGAGGGGGCGGAAGAAGTGGAAAGGGAGGGAAGATAGGTGGAGGTGAGGTGAGGGGAGAGAGGGAGAGAGGAAAGGGAGAATAGGCGGAAGGGGAGGGGAGGGGAGTGAGGTAGAAAGCGAGGAGAGGGGAGAGAGAGGGAGAAAGGGAAAGAAGAAGATAGGCGGGAAGGGGAAGTGAGATGAAAGAGAGGGGAGGAGAAGGGGAGGGGA